CCCCAAAACCCCAAAACCCCAAAACCCCAAAACCCCGCTTAAAATAGAGAAATTGATCAGAATTTATAATAAATTCCAAATGAGCGTTAATTGAGCTAGCTGTAAGAAGATCAGCACCCAATACTGTTGCGACCATAAGAAAGCCATCTGTGGCTGGTGTAGATCAGACCAACACTTTAAGTGTAAAGTTCAGATGATTGTTGATGTCAAAGAGATTGAGTACCAGTCCATGAGTCTGGACAAGTTAATTAGAACCACTGAGACTCAATGCAAGCAGTTCGATCTGGAAGACGACTTTCCGAAGTTTAGAGAGGCTATTGATGGGATCAAGAAAGAGTTTGAGGAAGTTAAAGAGGAGATTAGCAAAGCTATGAGGTATAAGGAGTTCTTAAAATTTGAAGAGTATCAAGCCAAGCTTGACCAGATTAAGACTAAGATTAGTGAAGACCCCAACATCAAAGAGGTTATGAGCTGCTGTTTCATGCAGATAGGGTTAAAGCAGATGCAGATTGAAGTACTAAATCATGAAGAGAGTCCTGTTGAAGATACTCTTAAGGTTAAAGTAAAGGAAGATAAGAAAGAGGTATTTTATGTAGACCCTAAGAATGATCATAAGACTGATGAAGAGAAGAAAGATACCTCAAAGAAACACTTTTTATTCCAAAGTAAAGGGATTTTGGAATCCAAACAAAAAAGCATCTTTAGTAAAAACCCAGATAAAGAAAAATTGGTAAACCTGTTTGACAAAAAGTTGGAAGCCCCTGCCAATGAAATCCAAAAGCCACAAAGTGATTCCAAAATCTTCACCTTGGAAACAGACCCTAACATAGCCAAATCCACCAAAAATAGCCCCACTACCACCCAAAAACAGCCCAACACAGAATTATTCTCTTAACATTCCCAACATCCTTTCCCACTCCCACCCATTCATCCACCTAAACCTCCTCTACATCCCCCTTCCCCCTCCACCCACTTCTCCTCTCCCCCAAAAATCCCAATCCCCTTCCCTTCCACCCTTATTCCCTCTAAACTCCCCCTAACCATTCTCATCACCAGTCTCTTCCTCCTATAATTTCGAAGGAGGATTCTGAACAAGAATAGGGGTTCAGAGGGACAGGAGGACAGTTATAGGAGGGTTCTATGGGGAATAGGAGTAATGTTAGTTTGGGGAATTAGAAGGCATGCTTTTGGGAGGGAGGTTGGGGTGTGGATGGGTAGCAGAGGAATTATTTGAAATTGTGTGGGTGGAATGTTAGAGGAGATTATGGGTGTGAATGAGGGATATAGGTTAGATTGTAATTTAGGGGGGATATTTGGGGTTTTGGGGTTTTGGGGTTTTGGGGTTTTGGGG